GCGATCGGAGATTATGTCAATCATTTGCGACCGCGACCGCGATTGCGTCCCCGACCCCCTCCACGACCCCGGCCTTGGTTTCCACCTCTTCCTCCTCTCTGATAACCACGACCTCTATTTTGGTTAAACTCGTTGCCCGAGTAGTTATTTACGGGTGGAGTGGGCTGTGGTTGCGGTGGTGTGGGTGTGGGCGTCGCCACAGGAGTTGGGGCGGCCGCAGGGGTTGGAGCGGCGGCGGCGGTGGCGACAGCACCTGTTGGGGGATTGGATTCAACAGTTTTATCGTCTGTTCCGTCATTGACTTGGTCTGCAATGACTGCTTTCTCTTCAGATTTTATTTCTAACAATACACGCAAAAACACATACAAAAAACAATGCAATCAATGAAAACATAATTTATTTTACAGAAAATCAGAGATAAATAATAAGACGATCAAAAAATGAAAGAAAAATCTACTCAAAGAAACTAATGAAATAATGTTATCATTCAGTAAAACATAGAAATAGAGACAAAAAGTTGATATTGTGTGAGAGTTTCCTCAGTATATCGGGACTAACCTTCCGATTGATTGATTGGCTCTTTGTGTTCATCGGCCGCCTTCTCAGTGGACACGACCGCGCCGTCGGTTACGGTTTGATTTGGTTTCGCATCAGTTTTAGCGGCAGTTTCAGTCTCTGGCGCCGGCTTTTCGGCCGCACTGTCCTTCTGTTCGGCGGCGGGAGTCGTCTCAGAACTGTCAGCGCTTTTCTTTTCTGTCTCTTCTTTCTTAATGCGCTCCTCTTCTGCCGCATTAAACTTCTTTGAGTGCTCTTCACTGTGGCAGTGGTCAAAACGGGCCGACTTGTCCTTCACAAACACACTGCACACCTCTGTATACAACATACAAATTAATCAATTCATCAAATCTAGATATTTGTCATCACTTTATTAAACATAAATCAATGTCTAGTCATCAATACTTACGGCAAACGTATCCAAAGACAGCCAATAAATACTTTTCTTGCGCGGCATCGATATCTAAATTCTTGTTTTTATCATCATCTGTTTTGGGAGCAACCGTTTCGATCGTATATTCCTAAACATAGCNTTATTAAACATAAATCAATGTCTAGTCATCAATACTTACGGCAAACGTATCCAAAGACAGCCAATAAATACTTTTCTTGCGCGGCATCGATATCTAAATTCTTGTTTTTATCATCATCTGTTTTGGGAGCAACCGTTTCGATCGTATATTCCTAAACATAGCCATCAATTTATTAGCAATTTTACAAATAAATATAATTTGTTAAATGTATACAAACCTTATTGACCAGAGATTCGGCTGCTTTTTGCGCCAAATCGTGTTGTTGTCGCTATAAGTAATTATAAAGTAATTTATTATTAATTATATGTTTGTAATTAAACGTAAACTAAACTAAAGCGCCGCTAAATGTAATAAAAAGAAAAATTAACGCAAATTCGCAATAAAAAGATAAATTAAATTTCTTTAGATTTAGAAATCGCAGGCGTTTTGCAAAATATATAGTTTTAATAAACAAATTATTGTTTCAATTTTTAAAGGGTTTCATTGTTTAAGCATTTGATACTTAATTAAAATATCAATTGCATATAGTTTTCAAAATACAAGTGATAGAAATCAATGTGTAATTCACGGCACAAATATTAAATTCTTTGGTTTAATTATTTATATCGAAGTCTCGTATTTCGTAATTAAGAGGTATTTATTCAAAATAACCTCAATTTTCACAGTTTTTCACATTTTAAGCGATTTAATAATCGGTTTGAATGGTTGTAATCATGTCTTAAAGTTGTTTTCATATGATTTTAAATCAATTTCCTTAATAGGATATAAATTGTCATTTAAATTAGTCTTTATAATTGTCACTAAAAAATTATTTCATAATTAATTCAAAACATAATTTTGAATTAAAGTATTTTTTCACAATGTGTTGAGTTCTCTCTCCAGCCCTTCATTTGGTGATTCAGTTATCAGTTTTTAAGTCATTTAAGACAAAACTTTAAGACATTTAGTATTTTAAATTGTTTTTCGTATTTAAAGCAAAAATACGACAATAAAATGGCATATGAATTGTATTATACATATGAAGGCATATAAAGGGCTGGCATTATATGCATTGCCGAGAATCCAATTGTCGACGATATCGACAGCTCTTATTTCTATTTTGGGAATCCCTTGTCTGGAAAATAAGTGATACACATATTATCATCAATTAGTTCTCAAACAAATCAATTAATATATACAATATATTTCATAATTATACTAATCATTACATATAAAAAAGCATTTATCAAAACATTCATTAATTATCGCTAACAATAAGTCCATTAGATTTTATCAATTTTAAAATATTTACATTTTTGCAAAATATTTACTAAAATTTATAATTAAAACATTAAGTTTAAATTTAGGTTAAATATAAATTAATGT